CCAACAACACTTCGGGTCCTTGATTTGGATCCATTTGGGCTCGGATTGGGTTGAATTTGGTGTCGTTGGATCCGTATTTCCGAGACGCTCAGTTTGACTATAAGCTCGCTGAAATTGGTGTTCGGGTGCTTCAAGATTTAATTTTTTAAGTTTCCAAATTGATTTTGCCTCGAGATTCGTGCTGGATCAAGACTATTTTTTGGTGACATATCAATTATCTTATAATACAAATTACATTCAATTAAGATTTTGTGTGTAATATATTAGAAAAAAGATTTAATTACATAATAATTAAGTTATTATGCTTACACTTTTATTCTCTATAAATCTTTTATATAAATAATTATGATAAATTTGATATTATTTATTACTAAAAATTTTATCTATGGATTATTATTAATATAACTATTTTATTAAAACTTTAAATTCATTTATCTTAAATTAGGGATATAATTATTATTCAAATTACTTGTAATAATAAATTTATTTATTTAATTTCCTTATTAAAATTTTGAATTAATTAAATAATATTTCTAATTTTATAATATTATTTAAAATATAAAATTTATTTATTTTCATTTAGTTTGATTTAATGCACTTATAATTATATTAGGAAAATTAAATTTTCTATAAATAGATTCCTGTCGTGCTGCAAAGACGGTTCTTGCCATTAACCGACTTGAAAAGTGTCTAACCTCGTAGAAATCTGCAGAAAAGACCGCGAGGCAGCCAGATTATAATCCCTAAATTCCACTGTTCATAAATCTCCTGTTTGCCATCCTCTCCGGCCTTCTTCGCCCGATTGACCTGTTTTTTCCCCCCAATTTCAAAAAGCTCAACTCAACCGACGCCGATTGTGGTGGAAACTTGATACCTGCAGTCAAAGAGGGAGCTTAGGCTTTTACTCAATCCAGCAAAGGTTTGTATATCTTTCTGGAATCTTGATTCTGTTATTTCCTTTTTTAATTAAATACCATGAGAAAGATGTTAATGGGTTTCACAATTGGCTTATTTTGAGCGTTTTAATGGGCGGTCGTTGTTCTCCTGGTCTCTTCAAGGGCTTTAGATATGTTTGTGAAATAGTCTGTTGATTTGATGATTTCTATCTGATGATTCCAAATCTGGAAAATTAATTTTTCGATGGTCGAGAGCAGATAGGAGGTTATCCGGTACTAACAATTTGTTACCGATTTTCTGGATCTTGATGAGCACTTTCATAACCTACAGACGAGCTTCCTAATCTTTAATTTGATCCTCCATTGATACAGAGACTTTGGTGAAGATAAGCATGACTCTGGTTCACAATTTTCTTGAACTGTTAAGTTGAGATGGAATTTCCTAGAGTATTCACATTTTGCAGTGAGTTTTACCTACCACATTGTCAGTATTGCCTGAACCCTATAAACATATTATGCCAAAAATATTGAATGCATAACAAATGCATTAGGATTGGTTCATGTACTTAGCCTCTCAATAGCATTGCACAGTTCTTTTTCTATGATTTGTACCCGTGACCTCTATATCACAATAGAAGCAACCTAACCAATGTTCCATGCCCCCTCCTATGCGATGTGGGTATGGCAGCCAAAAAATTGCTCAATTAATTATTCAAGTTTACATTTAATTTAACAGAAAACCTTTTATGCGTAGTAAGTGGAAAAATATAATGGTTAGTTGCAAGAGAGCATCTTTCTGTCTTATGGACGATTAAAAACTTCGAGTCTTAAATGTATAAGGGTGATGTCCATGGATGAAATGTGTTGTTTTTCAAGAGGCTAAATAGAAAGACATCATGGAAAGCATTTTTAATTGGTACAATTAGCATATTTAAACACACATGTTAAAATGCCCCATTAAACTACAAAGGGTAATACTAAACTATTCAACCATGGAGGTAAGAAACTGCCCAGATTTCTCACATTTATAGTGTATACCTAAAGTTGCTTTGAATTACATCCATACCTCCGCTAGAGTGGTAGGAAAAACCAATATTGATTGAACTAAAATTGCTCTGGTTTTGTTAAGCAAAGAAGTATTTTATTCTTCCTTGTTCTAGAGCCTTTTACTATGAGCTTAATGCACAATTTACTTATAAAATTAATATGGCAATCAACATGTGTTTGTTGTATAAATCTCATAGTTAGCCGCTGATTCTCTGTTTCAAGTGTTATCTTATCATCAAGGCAATATATTTTAAATTACTCAAAGTAACAAAATCCTATGATTGATTGATCATGACTAATAATACTCTTGATTAATGAATAATGAGCGATGCTTTTCACATAAGTTTGATATGAGTTCTAGTATTCAAAATTTAGTTAGATCGGAATAAGAGAGGATCCTATATGAGAAGCTATGAACACCTAGTCAAAAAAGATATTCTATGGATAGAATGATTATCTTCCACGAATTAAAAATGATAGACTCCAGAGATACTAGAAAGTGGTGGAGAAAATGAGGACTTATAATTCCAAAATACTAAAAAATTCAAGAAGAAAATAATATTCCAAAATATCCTGTTTTTTAACACCAAATTTTAATTTCCATTAGTTTATATGGCATGATCATTTTGATCTTTGTTTAAGGAGTCCAGGGACTAAGTTAGGACTATTACCTAGTTTATGACTATTTTGGTCCTCCATAGATGGTCGGGGGATTATTCTCTTTCTTTTCTATAAAAAAATGTGATTGTAGGAACTTTCTTATGGTAATGAACATTCTTCAAAGCTTCCTTTGTTAACTTGTTTTGGTACATCTTGAGCTGAAGAAATGCTTTCACAAAGGTTTCCCTGAATTGAAGGGATAACATCAACGCATTATATATTTTGAGCATTGATACATGTTTTCGTCGATGGTACAAGTCATTATAGTTCAATATATATAAAACAAGCTGAAGGACACCGCCCTTCTCTTGTATGTGAGTAGGCGAGCTATGCCTCTCTCCTCGGTAAATGATGTTCTTGCCTTGGCTGTGGGTTTAGTTCCTTGAGGCAACATGATTTTTCCACTACAAAGATGGCCTTGTTCTACTTATTAAAGATGTATCTTCGAACGAAGAGACATGAGTTTGATTAATGTATATGGGCACCGTGGCAACCTCATCTTCCTTATTTTATTCATAATGAGGAAGGTGCACTTCATCATAAGATTCATTATTTTTTCTTATACTTAGAATACACAATCTCATTAGGGGATCATATGTTGATCTTCTTTAGAATGTATAGTTTAGTGTTTAGGGCATTGACTCATCATATTGGTTGAATGTAGTTAAGAACTAGATTATAAATCTTGCCTAATAAGAATTGACTCAAATCAATCGTTTTGTTTTGTTCATGTTTAATATTCAGGTAATTTGGCACACCCCTATTGATGTGGTCTCTCATCTTTGATGGGTTGGCCAACTATGAGAGCTTGCACAAAAGGTTTTGAGCTTTTTTTTTGGGGAGAAATGAGTGGGAGGAAAATAATATGGATTTTTCAGGTTTTATTCTTTATGAAAATTTCGGTTGATGGAAGGATCAACGTGGAGTGCCCCTGGTATTTGTGGGAACCCAAATGAAAGGTTGAAAGCTTTGTGTAATATGAAGTGCCTTTTATGTTTGGAGGACTTGCATAATATGAAGTGCCTCTTATGTTTGGAGGACTTGCATCGAATACACACCTTTTTTGTTGAAGATCTCTAACTAAGTTTCTTAGCAGGGAATGATCCCGTGCTTCTTATATTATGTTGACATAGTTTCCTTTTAAGTTTGGCAAAGTTGATATTTGGTATTGCTTTGCTCGAATAATTGTTCTTATATTTGGTATTCCTTAATGTCTGACTTTTTTAATCAGAGTGATGATTGTTTGTTATGATCATTGCTGTATTGTTTTCCTTTAGTTTGCCGTTTACCGAATACACATTTGTTTTATAGGAGGGAAATCTTTATGGTTGCATTTATATTCAAGCTCATTTTATTCAACAGTTGAATGTTTAAGGGCTACGAAATTGTTTTATATGAGGATCATGCTCCTCATTATCATTTGTGTACTTATCTTATTGAAGTGTTTTTATCAGAACATTTACTGACTGCCAGATTGCTTGCCCTTACGATCTAAACTGCTCTTGTTAATTGCTATTTTAAACATTGCAGTATTCATTCATCTTTTCCATAATGATATAATTCCTGCGATGAAATTCTTTTGCTACTATTACTGATCAAGGATATGATGACTCTTTGTTTGGAAATAGTCAAGCTTTGTCTGATTTTGGTTAGATCAGTGCGGCATGTTTAGCAATGGAGGACAGGGAGTTATGTCTGAATCTATTCAGAAACATCCTAACGAAGTCGATTCAGTTACTAAATATGATTCTCTGAGTTCCTACAGAAACAGGTTTGTCCAATAGCATTCTTTTAATAATGTTAGTAAATGAATTATGATCTTTATAGTTAGACTTTGCTGCTCTAGCTTTTTATGCTTTCAATGCCTTGTCTTCAAATACATTCATTTCAATATTTTTTCTCAATCTTCTTCCTTTCTCTTCTTGTTCTTGCTCAAGTTTGTAAAATTTTTCGTACCTTTATAATCTTCTAGATGTTGACTACATACTCTTTGATCATTAGTTTCTTGTTCATACTGTTAAAGCATTGAACTTTCCACAAACTTCTACTAATGTTCTGACGTCTTAGCAGAGGAGTTTCAACCCCAATCTCAAATTTTTTTTAATGGCCATATTGAATCCTTTACAATATATTTTCTCTTGGCTCTTATGCATTTTCTTAAAGCAACCAAAAGAAAATCCAATGATATTAAATTACTTGAGTACTAGCTTTCGTTTTACTCTTTTCTTAACCTGCTTTACTAGTCTCTGTTAATCTAACAATATTCAATCCTGATTTAGCATTCTAGTGTAAAATGCTTTTGTTGCATTTTTCTTCATTTTTAAAGCCCGAGGAATTTGTCTTGGGGCCCATTTTGATTGCTTTATAAAAAAAATCGTGTTTTGAAAAATGATGAATTTTTTAGATTCCATCATTTTATCTTTTGTAATTAAAAATTAATATTGATTTAAAACTCTGCAAATACTTTTAAAAATTTTCAATATAATTTCATTTTCAAACACAAAATGTGTGAAATTAAAGTTAAAACTCCACAAATACTTTTAAATTCTTCAATATAATTTCATTTCAAACACAAAATGTGTGAAGTTAAAGTCATCATTTTCTAAAGCATGTTAACACTACAAATAAATAGCTTCGAAAGTCCTCAAATGTGATTTTTTTTTTCCAAGCAACCAGATGAGCCTTTTATCGTTGTCATCAAACAATACATGTTTTAGCACTTCTGGTTTTTAAATTTCCATCTTTTTTTATCCTTATGCTCTCATTAGCCAAACGGTGTATGGTTTCTTATTCTCTCTTAATGCAGTAAAACTCATTCAAACGGCTATCTCAAGAAGCATGTCACCGAAGAGCCGTTACTTCTTTCTTCAGACAAATCCATTTTACCAACTGCTAGAGATGCTGATGCTTGGTTAGCTCCAGGAAATATAGTCTGGGTTAAAGACACTAGCCATGGCTGGTGGCCAGCAGAAGTAAGATGATTGTAATAAATTCTTGTGTAACATAGTCCGTTCATTTTCCTTGATTTTAGCTATAGCTTGTTTTGGTTAGAACTCTTTGATGGTTGATTTAGGTCACGGACATAGGAGTTCTGAAGGACAATGACTATCAGCATACTGCACGAGTTTTAGTGCAGCTTTTTAAAATCCACAGAAGGTAGACAAATTTACTATTGTTATTCTATATTTGAAACCTCTAAGACAAATTCTATGCCATTTAATTGATAGACTAACATCACTTATTCTATTTTTTGTTCAACTTGTAGAGTGTGGGCAGATTCTTCAGATCTTTCACAGTTTTCAAATGTGAGTGTTAAATTTTTTTCAAGTTATCTTTAATTATAGTTAAGGTATTTTTGGAACTTGTTTATGTTGACCAAGTATGCATCTCTTTATACAAGTGCCCCTTATTTTGTCTTTCATTATGCAACCATGTAGAAGCTAAACAATTGGAGGAAAATAATGAAGAAATCGTTTAGAGGGAAATTCAAATTCTATTCTATTTCTTAGAATCATTATATATATATATATATATATATATATATATATATATACATTATAGGAGAATAAATAGAAAAAGAAAAGATATTTAATCTAATTAATTATAATAATCATATCCCACGGATCTCCAACTGCAGCCCTCATATTACTGCCCACAGATCTCCAACTACAGCTTTCAGATTGCTGCCCACGGATCTTCAACTGTAACCCTCAGATTGCTGCCCACGGATTGCTGACGTGGCCTCCCATTGGCTGCGTGATTCAATACTCCCCCTCAAGTTGGGTTGTACAAGTTGCACATTCCTAACTTGCTAACAAACTTATCAAGTAGAGAGCCCAGTAGTGCCTTAGAACATCAACAAGTTGTTCATGAGTTGGGGTATATACTAATTCAATTTATGAGTTCTATATTTTCTCAGATATAAAGTGTCTATCAATAGTAACATGTTTTGTTCTGTTGTGATGTACTAGATCCTTGGCCATATTGATTGTGGCTTGATTGTCACATTTCAACTTTATCATGCCTTCAATCTTTATTCCCAGTTCAATCAATACTTGTATAATCCAAATACCTTCACAAATAATAGCTGCTAATGCTCTCAGTTTAGATTCTACACTGCTTCTAGAAACAACATATTATTTTTTGCTCCTCCATGTCACTAGGTTACTCCACACAAATGAACAATATCTTGTGGTCGATTGACTGTCAACTTGGCTTCCTACCCAATTTGCATTATAATAAAGGATCAATTTTTCTATCTTCATTTTTCTTGAATAATAGCCCCTTTCCAGAAGTGTTTCTGAATACCTTAAGATTTGATATATGCCTCCATGCGCTCCTTCATAGAATTACTCATACATTGACTTACCATACATCAAACCCAATATATGGACGGGTGTGGGAGAGGTATACAAGCTTTTCTACAAGATGTTGATATCTGCCTTTATCTATTGAAACTCTCTCCTTTTTTATCCCAAGTTTTTTCTTAGGATCCATAGGTGTACTGGCTGGTTTGTATTCCAGTATGTCGGTCTCCTTGAGTAGGTCTAAAGTATACTTGCGTTGGGAAATAAATACCAAGAAAGTATCTAAATGATCCTAAATCTTTAACTTCAAACTCCTTGGATAAAGCTTGCTTGATATTCATTATTTCCTCTAATATCATTTTAAGTAAAGATGATGCCATCCACATATAAAATCAGTATTGCTACTTTGTCTCTTTCTGACTGCTTCATAAACAAGGTATAATCTGTCTGACATTATTTAAAACCATGGCATTTTACATATTTTGAGAATCTTCCAAATCATGCTCTTGGAGACTATTATAATCCATATAAGGATTTCAATAGTTTATATACTTTATCCCTTCCATAAGACTTCTGAGTCCCCATTAGAATCTCTATATAAACTTCTTCGTTTAGGTTTGCATTCAAGAATGCATTATTGATATCTAATTGATGTAGGAGTCAATCTAAATTTGTTGCTAAGAAAAGAAGAATCCTGATGGTGTTGAGTTTTGCAATAGGAGTAAAAATTTCCTGATAGTTTATTCCATAAGATAGTGGAATCCTCTTGCAACCAGTCTATCTTTAAGTCTCTCAACACTACCATCTACCTTATGCCTTACAGTGAGCACCCATTTGCAAGTCACAACTTTCTTTCCTGATGGGAGATTAGTAATCACCCATGTTTAATTTTTTTCTAAGGCTATAATTTCTTCTTTAACAGTCTGTCTCTATCCTGGGTGATTCAAAGCTTCCTGAATATTGGTTGGAATCTATGCATCATCCAACTTAGAAAGGAAGACTTGATAAGTGTCTAATAATTCGCTATAGGAGAGAAAGTTTTCGATTGGATGCTTGGTGTATGATTTTTTCTGGCCATTCGATGACTCTATCTCTTTTTAAACTTTCTCATTTTTGTTCTATACTAGTATAAATGCACGTGCACATGGTGCACGTTAATAAAAACTAAAAAATAATATTTATATAATATGACAATTCCTAGATCCATTGAAGTAGAGTTGACAGGTGCAAGATGTGTCTCACTGCTTGGCATATACTGATTTTTTCTTTTCTTGAGCATACTATGGGCCTCTGAAAGGACACTGCTCAGCGGGGACAGAATATAAATGGGTACGATTGCACTATCCTGTAGGACAAAATGACCGCAGACCTTTGCACTCTTCGCAAGCGGGCCAATGGGAGGGCAGATGAGATCATACACATGATTAATCATTGAGGATAGCGGCTTGCACCTACGCACCTCAACGGGTAATGATATGTATAACCTGATTAAAGTCACAAGATTTTTCTCATTTGATACATCAGCTCGAGTGGAATTTATTTGATATGAGAATCGATTTTCCACGGTCACAAACTCCCATGATTAATTACATCTTAAGCCGGTGCCTAAGAAGACTCTCGATTAAGGACTAAACATTATTCTCTCATATAGGATTGACACATAAGGGGGATTTTAGGAACTTCCTATTTAGATGGAAGGAAATGCTCAACTTGACTTGGTAAACATGCACGACTCATATCATCATCTGGAAGGGTTAAGATAGGGAAAAGAAACTGGGGAAAGACAACACTGCTCTCTGAGCATACAAGAAAGAAAAATAGAGGTGACGTCATCCGTGCGACGTAGATATGTGAGATTTACAGCCTCCGAAGGATAAATAACTTACCCGTCGATGAGGCATACTACTAGACACTAATAATAGTAGCCTTAAATCCTAAATCTAGAGTGGGTTTAGTATGCTACACATAATACTAACACCCATGTTCTAGCTAATGCATTCTGGACTTATATCCTGCCTGAAAAGGAAAGCCAGCTAAACACCTAGTCCTATAAAATCCATGCTATCCAATCTTTATGAAAGATGGGTGGGTGTTTGCGTCTTTGGAAATTAAGGTCGACATCTAGAGAGATTCTTATGTGGCCTTGTACTTACAAATGATATTATGCTTCTAAGACTAATGCAATTAAATTTTGATTTTAGTTAGTTTCTCATGCAATGTATGCTAGTCAAAATCTTCAATTCAGAAATAAATGAAATATTAAAAAGGCTTATAAAAATAATTATTTTAAGAAGATTAGACTTTTTCAACCTCAACACCTCGTCATTTTAGGTCGAATTATCAGAACTCTACCCGCAGCCGGGAAACGTTTAACCAAGGAAAGAGGAGAATACATTAAGATGCATGCGACCCCGGACAATCTCTTAAATGTTATTTAATTTCTAGAATATTAAATTTTAATTATAGGTAAAAAAATTTTTATCTCTAAGAGCCTAGCGAAATCAGATACATACACATGCAAGAAAAAATATATAAAAAGTATGTCATTTTTACTGCACAAAGAAAGTAAACACATCATCAAAATAAAACCTCAATATGAGCAAAAAGTATCCAAAAGTTCATGGCAAGTGTCATATAATATATAACCCAGGATCTGTAGAAAAGTAATGGTGGTCAAGTCCTATCGACAACAACCTGCATTCTAATTCTACAGAATGATGCAAATTTTAAAAATAAGAATTTTTTATCTTAATCTTTGTCTTCTGGCTCCTCTATTGGTCTCCTTTCTTTAACTTTCTCGTAGTACGTCCTCCAGGAGAATATCCAAATGAAAAAAATTCCTTGTAAGGGGCTTTTTTTTCTCTTTGGATTCCTTATATTTAAAAATGTTTTATTTTAAGATTTTCACAACTCTATACTTTGAATAGAATTACATTAGGAATATAAAAAAAAAAGTCTAAACTCTCCAGCAAAATTATCATAAATAATTGAATCAAATATCCCAAACTAATATATATGAAAATAAAAAAGCTCAAGCTAGTCATATTTGACCATGCTATTATATATAATTTGATCATGCATATTTATTTGGGGGCTAAATAGTTGAAGCATATATAGCAATTATATATAATTTATTTTTTTAGTCCCTTTTTTGCGCTTTATGAGCATAATCACATGAAGAAAACATCGTAAGTATCAAAATTGCTCATAACCTATGAGTAATCTATCGCACATCACATTATAGAAATAATGCAGTAATTAAAATCATTATCACATCAATTATCACAGAAAGCTAAAACAACCAGCACGTGCCACATGCAAATCACAACATCACATAAACAAATAAAAAGAAAATATCGACGTAACTTAAATCTAGAAGTCGTGTCATAATAAACAGTTCTATATGTGTGTAGTAGGCTGTGTGGTCTCGGGTATGTCCTATGTTGGATAATTAATTCAAGTTATTTATGATTTGATTTATTTAAAGTTTAAATATTAGTGTTTTGAGGTCAATTTTAATTAATTTAGTTGGTGGGTCAATTTTAGTACTTAGGATGATATTCTCTAAAATTTAAGTTGAATTAGTGAATTTCAGAATGCCCGGGGGTCATCCTATCCGCTAGATGAAAGGATTCAAAAGTTGACTTTTTGAAACAAACTAAGTACTGGAGTCCTAGTATTTTTATTAAAAATTAGACTCTTTGGGGAGTAGTTAGACTTCGAATTTGTTGGATTTGAAGTTTTGTACACAAAATTATAATTTTTTAGAAGTTTGAGCCTAATTATTGAAAACGGCTGACCAAAGAGTTGGCTTTTTTTATTTAGGCTAATTTCTGGAATGTTTATATTTTTAAAAAATACTAAATTTTAATTGAAGTTGAATGCCATTTAGTTTACTCAATTTGAATTTTCTTGAAATTAGTAATGATTTTTCAAAGTTTTAGTATTTGATGAATTATTAAACGCTTAATTAAGGGTATTTTAGGAATTTTCATTTA